TCGCCCCCTGCCCAAGGCCTTTACCACACTATTGTCTGTGTCCATTGGTTATGCATATATGCATATAAATTCTTTGGTTAATCTCTTCCCACCACCTACCTACCCCTGCCTTCCCTCTGAGATTCATCAGTTTGTTCCATGTTTCTATGTCTCTGGCCATATATATATATATTTTTTAAATATACACTGAGTGGCCAGATTATTATGACCCAGATTCCTTCCACATTGTGGCTCTAGACTCTGCCACCTTCAACTAATGGCTTCTGTGGTCACCATGCTCATCTACATCAAGCTATAGAAATAGAAAAAGCATGGAGGACAGATGGCACATAGGAGATCTTCATGAGCCATCCTGGACGTGATTACAGCCACTTCTGCTCACCTTTTTGTGGTTAGAACTCAGTTATACACAGTCACACCTAATTGGGTGGGAAGCTGGGAAATGTAGTATAGCTGTGTCCCAGGAGAAGTTTAAATTGTTTGAAACTACCCCCTGGCAGTTTCTCACTCTCAAAGCCACCAAAATTGACTTTAATTTTTATTATTTAAAAATAAAATGTCCAGCCTGGCTGGTATGGCTCAGTGCTTGAGCATTGACTTATGAACCAGGAGGTCATGGTTTGACTCCTGGTCAGGGCACATGCCAAGGGTTGCAGGCTCTATCTCCAGTAGGGGGCGTGCAGGAGGCAGTCAATCAATGTTTCTATCTCTCCCTCTCCCTTCCTCTCTGAAATAAATAAAAATATATTTAAAAATAAAAAGTCCAATTTCATTTTGGGGGGTATTTTAAAAAGTCAGAGTTTGTACCATGATGTCATAAAATATGTTTGTTGGTTCCAGGTTTATGGCAAATGCAAAGCATTATATTATGTGAACAGGCCACTAAGAATTCTTTATTTACCTGCTTATAACTGTACTCTTCGCCCAGGTAAGAGAGCGCTCTTATTTTGTTTATTTTAATGAAAGATGGAAAAAGTGAATTAAGCAGGGCTATTCTCCTGTTCTTATTTCCTATTCATACCAAGGCCAGGTTCTTAATGTATCTGATACTTGCCTCCCCTGTGAAATTCAACTTGCACTGCTCTTCTTCCCATAATTAATCTTCCTAAATTACCTGCAATAGTTTTATTCATGAATATTGAATTAAATCCTAAATTTTTAGTCTGACATAAATGGGATCATCTCTACACTGGTCTCCAGGCTACCTTTCTAGCTATCTCTGCCATTACCTCCCTGAGTATATCACCTCTGTACTTCATTCAACTGAAAACCCCACTCTTTTCTGAATACACATTGCACTTTCCAATCTTTGCTTCTTGCTTGTACCTTTCCTTCTGCTGAGGATGCCCTCCCCTGGTACCCACACACTGGTAACTCATATTTATTCTTTAAGGTCCACTGCCAATGTTCTTCTATAATGTTCTCTATTCAGGAAAGGAACAAACTCTCCTGCTCTCATTCCTATGAAAGTTTAACATAACCACTCATGGAGCACAGACCATGCACTGCCTTGATTTGAAGTCTTCTATCTTATTTCATGCAGAATATTTTATACCTTCTTTCTTCCTGCTACAGCCTCCCCCAAGTCCCTAACAAGTGTAAGGAGTCCATAATATTGTTGAGCAAATGAACTAAGACTGAGAATGAAACTAATGGCATTTCAAATATGCACATGTATTCATTCTGGATCCTTCTCTTCGGAAGCAAGCATCCAAGGCATAGGAAAATTAGATATGGCTACTTGTCAAACTACTATGTGCATGTGACTCCCCTGGTGGATGTTGTTCAAGTACAGACTCTCATTCCACAGGTCTGTGGTGGGGCCTGAGAGTCTGCATTTCTAACAAGCTCCAGGTCATAACACTGTTGCCGGTTCCTTTGAGGGACAAGGCAACAGAACAAATGTTGTATTAGCCACAGTTGAAGCTTCCTGGTTGAGAAGATGAGACTTACTTAAATTAGAGAACAACAACTAGTAAAACAGATCAGGACTCAAAAGTCACAGGTACCAGAGGTATGGGAGGTCAGAAAATGACACATAGATTTGGTGCCACGAGTGACAAACTGTGGATGTAACTCCCCCAAAGAATAGCCAAATACACTCATATAAATGCATGATTGATCAACTGTTTTGCTCTGTAATAACTTGCAGAGAAGTTCTTACCCTGACTTTCACACTAGTTTTATAACCCCAGTCAGAAATTCTGCTTGTACCATTAGAATGATTATTCTAGCCAATCATACAATAAGTTGGCCAATTTCTGGCTGACTTGCATTTTTGAATCAGAGAGAGAGAGTGCTTGAACCTTTCATATGTCACTCATTCATTCACTCAATAAGCATTTGCAAAGCACTCACATTATCTTAGGTGTTGGAGACTAAGAAATGAATAAGACATACCAATAATAAGATCTCAACCTTTTAAGATACTCAGCTGGTTTACAAAGGCAATAATGATAGAAGGTATTGAGCTACTAATAGGGGGGAAGGTTTTTGTGTCAATATAAACACATATGTGTTTTGAACAAAATTCTGAGCATAAATACATTTGTGTTAGGTGAAAAAAATTTTGCTTTGATTTTTTAATACATTATTGAAGGAATACATGCTCATTGCAGAAAACTCACTGCTGATAGCTAACTTTCATTCCAGATAATGCCTTTTTCACGCCATCCTTGCCGAAACTGAATATATTTTTTTATTTAATCTCTGCTTCTGCTGTGGTCATATGATTTATAGGATTAAAAACCATTAAGGAGCTTTATTTTTAAACTACTCTCTTTGTCATCAACAGTTTCTCGAAGAAAGATTCAGAATATGTGTCCTGACTGCCCATCCCCACTAACTTGTCAGATCCCAAAGTTCTGGAAACTGCCATAGAGACACTTGCAAGTTTCAACAAGGACAGTGAATCAGGGCAATATTCTCTTGTCAAAGTCACCAAAGCTTCTAAGCAGGTGAGGTGGAAATGCCCAGTTACACCAACAATGTCTCATGACTGTTGCTATCGATTCCTAAACTGAGAGGAGAATATTAAGGCACTTCTTTGGTTATAATCCAATCTTTACTCCCTGCTTTGGTAGACCTGAAGCACATTCAATCAATTATGTTTCAGTTTCTAAGTTATTCCATGAAATTTCCACAAGAGTTGTGGGATTTGATTTTACCTCAATGCCTTTAAGGCATGAATGGAAATGGACTCAGAGTCTCCTTGGTTTATTCTACCCAGGTTCACTACTTACTGCTACATTCTCATATATGATTGACCATGAATCTCATTTAGCAGGTCAGCTTCTGCTCCATGTTAAGGCCTGGAGTGGATGTTGAGTTTTGTGGATTAGGAGAAATGGAGGCTCATCTGCATTTGAATTATGTTGATATCTATCATATAAAGAAAAACTAATCTAAAAACAAAACTGCTTGAAGAAAATTAAGCTCACCCAAGGGAAGGTTTTTAGAACCCATTCAAATCCCTAAAAGGGAAGAAATGAATGCTGATTATGTTTTCTAAATAACAAAATCATAATAGGGGGTTTGATCATGGTGGGAATTACAGGGACAACAGGAGACCAGTGTTGACAATGACTCAGGGAATGTATGGATTCTATAAATATAATGCTGCCAAACCTCAGTTGTTTCTCTACATAGAGAGTTTTGATTTTTATTTCTCAACTCTTGTGTCATACCAGTGGATGTATGGCCTCTCCTACTTTGTGGAATATTTAATCAAAGAGTCACCAGATATCAAAACCGAAGCCAGCAGTTCTGGATATCAGCCCACTCCCTATGGGGTGAGTATTCCTGAATGTCTTCATAATTTAAGATTTGTGTTCCCAGATCATCTATAAGTATGATTGAGCATAAATTATGTATGAGCTGTCAAAGACATTTTTCTTCTCCTCAAGGAGTAACTGACTAATTAGAGGTTGTGGTGGCTCAGATGCAATAATATTTTATTGTAAATACAATTTTCATCAGCAATGTTATGCCTTTGCAGAAAAAGATCATAGATGCTGTAAAATATAGAGAAACCTTCTCAGTGGTTGATTGTGGTCCTACTTATATCTGAACAAATCCAGTCACATTTAGAATACAGTTTTATTCCTTGGGCCACTCTTTAAGAAGGACAAAGTCAAACAGGACGTCTTTGAAAGAATTCATCCAAGATGAAGAGGGTGCCTTGAAGCCATCTGACATACCTGGTAGGAATGCCAGTTGGCACAACGTGTTGTAACACAATTGGACAAAATGCCTCAAAGTCTTTTTCCATTTATTTACTTATTTCTAATAACAGCTTTATTAAGACATAATTCACACACCATTAAATTCACCCTTTTAACCTATACAATTTAGTGACATTTTAGTGTATTCTCAGAGTTGTGCCACCACCATCAGTATTTAATTTTAGAATATTTTCATCAGTTTCCAAAGAAACTCCATACCCATTAGCAATCACTCTCCTTAGTCCTTTACCCATGCCCATGGAATCCACTAATCTATTTGCTATCTCTGTGACTTTACCTTTATCTGAACATTTCATTTAAGGAATCATACTGTATGGCCTTTTCAATCTGTCTTCTTTTACTTAACATAACATTTTAAAAAAATATATATTTTAATGATTTTTTTCAAGGAGGAAGGGAGAGGGATAGAGAGTTAGAAACATCGATGAGAGAGAAACATTGACCAGCTGCCTCCTGCACACCCCCTACTGGGAATGTGCCCGTAACCAAGGTACATGCCCTTGACCGGAATCGAACCTGGGACCCTTCAGTCCGCAGTCCGATACTCTATCCACTGAGCCAAACCGGTTAGGGCTAACATAACATTTTTAAGGTTTATCCATTTTGTAGAATGTATGAGTGCTTCATTTCTTTTAATTATCAAATAATATTTAATTGTAGGGATATACCACATATTATTAATTCATCAGTTGATGGATATTTGGGTTTCCTCATTTGAGCTATTATGAATAATGTTGCTATGAACATTTGTGTACAAGTTTTTATGGATACATATGTTTTCATTTCTCTTGGGTATATACCTTGGACTGGGATTGCTGGGTCATATGAGAACTCTATGTTTAACCTTTTGACTAATTGTGAAAAGTGACTGCACCAGTTTTATAAACCCATCAGCAATGTAGGAGGGTTTTAATTTCTCTACACAAATGCCAAGGCTTATTATTATTATCTGTCTTTTTATTATAGCCATCTTACTGGGTGTGAGGTAATATTTTATTTTGGTTGTTATTTGCATTTTCCTCATGGCTAATGATGTTGAGGATCTTTCAATGTGCTTACTGGACAATTGTATATATTCTTTGGAGAAATCTATTCAAATCCTTTGTCCATTTTAAAATTGGCCTATTTATTTTTTATAGTTGATGTGTAAGAGTTCTGTACATATTCTGGATACAATCCCCTCATCAGATATGTGGTTCTCAAATATTTTTTTCCGTTGTCTGGATTGTCTTTTCATTTCCTCAATGATGTTTTTTGAAGTACAAAGTCTTTAATTTTGATGAAGTCGTAGTTGTATATTTTTTCTTTTGTTGAATGTGCTTTTGAGGTCATACTTAAAACACCATTGCCTAATCCAAGATCAGTAAGATTTATTTACTCCTATGGATTCAGCCAATGGTTTTATAGTTTTAGCTCTTATCTATGACCCAATTTTAGTTAATTTTTGTATATGATGAGAGGTAGGAGACTCAACTTTATTCTTTTGCATGTGGATGTCCAGGTGTCCCAGCACTATTTGTTGAAAAGACTATTTCTTCCCCCATTTAATTGTCTTGCATACTTCAAGAAGATCAATTGACCATAAGTATAAGGGTTTATTTCTATACTCTCAATTTTATTCCACTGATCTACATATCTATTCTTACACCACTACCACTCTATCTTAAATATTATAGCTTTGTAGTAAGTTTTAAAATTGGGAAATGTGAGTCCTCCTTGCTCTCATTCAAGATTGTTTTGGGTATTCTAGATTCCTTGAATTCTTACAACAATTTTAGAATCAGCTTGTTAGTTTCTATTTTTAAAAAGGCAATTGGAGCCCTGGCTTGTGTAGCTCAGTTGGCTGGAGCATCATCACGTACACCAAAAGGTTGCAAGTTCGATTCCCTGTCAGGGCACATACCTACTAGTGCGTTGTGAGTTTGATCCCCAGTTAAAATATGTACAGGAGGCAATTGATCAATGTTTCTCTCTCATGTCAATGCTTCTCTCTCTCTCCTTTCCTCTCTCTCTCTCTCTCTCTCTCTCTCTCTCTCTCAAATCAATAAAAATATGTCCTTGGGTAAGGATTAAAAGAAAAGGCAGTTGGTTATTTGAGAGGGATTGGTTGCATTGAATCTGTAGATCAATGTGGGAAGTATTGTCATTTTAACAATATTAAGTCTTCCAACCCATGAATATGGGCTGTCTTTCCATTTTTTTAGAACTTAATTTCTTTCAACAATGTGTTGTAGTTTTCTGTGTACAAGACTTTTATTTATTTGTACACCTAAATATCTTATTCTCTTTGATGCTACCATCATATATTTGTCTTCTTAATTTTATTTTTGGATTATTCATAGCAAGTTTATAGAAATAAAATTGATTTTTATATATTGATCTGTATCTTGTAACCTTGCCAAACTCATTTATTAGTTCTAATAGTTTTCCAGTAGATTCCTTAAGATTTTCTATATATGTACAAGATCATGTCATCTGCAAATAGAAATAGTTTACTTCTTCCTTTCCAATCTGCATGCCTTTATTCATTTATTTGACTAATATTCCTGGCTAGAACTTCCAGTGCAATGTTAAATAGAGGTGGGGAGAACAGATATCCTTATCTTATTCCTGTTTTTAGGGAGGGAAGGATTCAGTATTTCATTATTTAATATGATGTTAACTGTAGGTTTTTCATAGATACTGTTTATCAAGTTGAGAAAGTTTTCTTCTATTGTTAGTTTGTTGAATATTTTTATCAAGAGAGAGTGTTAGAGTTTGTCAAATGCTTTTTCTGTGTTAATGAGATCATGTGATTTCCCCCCTCTTTTAATCTATTAGTATTATATATAGCAATGATTGATCTTTGTATATTAATACAGTCTTGCACTTTGGAAATGAATCCCAATTGATCATAGTGTACAATACTTTTTACATGTTGCTGAATTCCATTTGTCAGTATTTTTAAAAAGATTTTTATCTATATTCATAAGAGATACTGATCTATAGTTTATTTTTGTGTTGTCTCTGCCCTATTTTAAATATGAGTTTAACATTGGCCTCATAGAATGAGTTGAAAATTTTCTCCTATTTTATTTTGGAAGAGTTTGTTGGTATTCATTCTTCTTCAACTGTTTGGTAGAATTCACCAATAAAGCCATCTGGGTCTGGGCTATTCTTTGTGGGAAGTTTTTTTGGACTAATAATTCAATCTCTTGTTATAAGACTATTCAGATTTTTTTATTTCTTCTTTAGTGGATTTTGGTAGCTTGTATCTTCCTAGGAATTTGTCTATTTTGTCTAAGTTATCTAATTTGCCAGTATAGTTGTTTACAGTATTCCCTTTTTATTTTTGAAGGATCTGAAATAATGTTCCCTCTTTAATTCTAATTTTAGTATTTTGAGTCTTTTTTTGGGGGTCAGTCTAGGGCTTTGTCAATTTTATTGATCTTTTCAAGGAGTCAACTTTCAGTTTTGTTTATTTTCTTTGTGTTATTTTTATCACCTAGTTTATTTCCTCTCTATTCTTTATTTTTGCCTACTTTGTGTTTGCATTGGGCTTATTTTACTCTACTTTTTCTAGTTTTCTAAGGTAGAGCTTAGGTTATTGATTTGTAATCTTTTTTCTCTTTTTTTTTTAATAAAAAATATATTTTTTGTTTATTTTAGAGAGGAAGGGGAAGGGAGAAGAAAGAGAGAGAGAGAGAAACATCCCTACTGGGGATCAAACCCACAACCCGGGTATGTTCTCTGAGTGGGAATCGAACCAGCGACCTTTGAATTCATGGAAAGATGCTCAACCAACTGGCCAGGGCTCTTTTTTACATAAGCGTTTACATCTATAAATTATTTTTGAAGGAATTTTTTAGCTTCATCTCAACAAGTTGTGTACATTGTGTTTTTGTTTCCATCCATCTGAAAGTATTTTCCAATTTTCATTGTGATAGCTTCTTTGACAAATTGGTTATTTAGAAGTATGCTATTTAATTTTCAAATATTTGAAATTATCTTTAATTAGTGATTTTTAATTAATTCCTTCATAGTCACAGAATATTGTACAAATTCCCCAATTTTCTTCTGTTATTCTGTTTCTAAAAACATTTCATTGTGGTTGGAGAATGTACTTTGAATGATCTTAATTCTTAAATTTACTAAAGTTTATTTTATGGTTTATAATAAGGAATATCCTGGAGAATGTTCCATGTACACTTGAGAAAAATGTGTATTTTGCTGTTGTTAGGTGAATTATTTGGTAATTGTCAGGGTTAGTTGGTTTATACTGTGGTGTAAAATTTCTGTTTCCTTGTTAATATTCTGCATAGTTGTTCTATCCATCATTGAAAGTGAGGTTTCAAACTGTTACTGTTGAATTTTCTACATCTCCCTTGAATCAGTTAGTTTTGGCTAATGTACTTTGGGGCTTTGTTGCAGGTCATATATATGTATAGTTGTCATGTTTTTCTAATAAATTGACTTTTTATCATTATAAAATGTTTTTCCTTCTCTCTAGTAACAATTTTTGTCTTAAAGTAAATTTTGCCTAATATTTGTATAATCATTCCAGCTCT